CGCTAATTCTGAGATGGCTTCACTGTATAAATTGAATAACAAAGGTGGTAAAATACACCCTTGGCGGACCCCACGGCGAATCTGGATATCCTTGGTCAGTTCGTTTTCAACTACCATATTTACATAAGTTATATAATTTACATAATTATACTTTTATATATATATATATATATATATATATATATATATATATAATATATATATATATATATATATATATATATATATATATATATATATATATAACTTATATATATATATATATATATATATATATATATATATATATATATATATATATATATCCCGTTTATAGCGTAATCCGCCTTTGGGTTCCCGTTCGCCAAGCCTGTCTATTCTGCCAGTCTTCTTCAAATAGATTTCTTGCTGACATGGCTTTTGAAATTCCTTGCATCCATGTTGTTGGTGGTCGTCCTCGTTTTCTTTTCTCTGGTGGTACCCATTCTAATATTTTTTTTGGTAGTCTTTCTTCCCCCATACGTCTAACATGTCCGTACCATGTCAGTTGTTGTTTTTCCATGTCTTCTATAATTGATCCTTGTACATTCATTTGATTTCTTATGTCCTCATTTCTCACATGTTCTAATCGAGACTTTCCCGCTGCTCTCCTCCAAAAATCCATTTCAACTGCCAAGAGGTTACCTTTAAGTTTTTGTGATAACTGCCATACTTCTGAGCCATACACGATTACTGGTTTCAATATTGTGTTATATATATATAATATTGTGTTATATATATATATATATATATATATATATATATATATATATATATATAACTTATATAACTTACATAATTTATATAACCATATTTCATAAACCTACCCATTACTGACACGATAAGATACGACACGTATACCAAAAGAAAAAGCACTTACACAGTGGTGTATACAAACTTAACTGTGGCGACTGCCCAAAACTTACATCGGTCAAACTGGTATAACTTTTAACAAACGGATAGCAGAACACAAAAGTGGATTCAATAATAGAAAATACAGATTCTACGTACGTACTTCATCTTCTAGACTAAATCATTATTTTAATGACTGATTTCAAATTCTTTACGTTCAAAATAAAGACCTTAAGCTATCTTTATTAGAATCTATGAAAATTAACAAATTAAACAATACAGACATAATTCTGAATGACCTACTTGAGACAAACAGTTCTCCCCTCCTCAACTTATTCAGTTAAAGGCTATAAAGTGTAAACGCATAGCAAAAATATATCACCTGATGAATGCACTCTGTTGAAAGTTGTTATTGCAGCTGTTGAAACAGCTGTAATGATAATATAAATTATAATACATTTTATGGAAGTGTTTAAAACAAAAGTTTTTAGTGTTTTATTGTTAGATAAAAGGTTTATATTTCGAAGATCCATTATCCGTTTCGGGGATACGTTTATTAGTCCAGTCGATATCTATAAGTTGGGTGTGAAGTAGTTTTTTGCATAAATCTCTCCAAAAGATGAGAAAAAATGATAATTTCACAATGCGTAATGTCTAAAATTTGAGTTTAACTTTTTATTAAAGAAAACGATATAAAATAAATAAAAAAAATTGATGCTCAAATGAAATCGTAGGCTTCCACGGCCAGAGTCAGAATTATAGTTTATTCGTCTTCCGGGTTTGGACCGTGTCATTTGTGAGTGACCCAAAAGTGGGTTCATCTCGACGTTTCTAGAGGCGAATCCTAACTACCAAGATGGGCATTTGGTCACAGTAACTCAACTACTCAATGCAGCCAGAGGTGAAAACCAAACCAAGCCAGAGGTCCAAACTTTGGACGTGAATCCCTGTCCTGGCATTAGGACTGGCATGTTAGGACTGGGCGTATTATTGTTTTGTAGAGTTTTATTTTTGTATTTCTCGATATAATTGTGGATTTAAGCAGGAAATTGAGTCCAAAATAACATCTGTTGGCCGTGCAAATTCTGCAGTTTATCTCTGCGGTAGTATTATTTTCAGTATTAAGGAGCGCTCCCAGGTATACAAATTCGTTCACTGCTCCGATGATGTCGTTTTCTATAACAAGTGGTCGTAATATTTGTAGTTGCGTGCTTATTTTCATATACCTACTTCGTTTTGTTGGTGTGTATTATTAAACCCATTTTTGCAGCTGATTCTTTTAATGCTACATACGCCTCTCGCACAGTTCGTTTTCCGTTCTCCCAACAGTATTGATATCATCAGCATAGGCTAGGATTTCCACAGATTTATTATATATTGAACCAATGGTTGTGATTTGTGGTATATGTATTACTTTTTCCAGACCCAGATTGAACAGTATACATGAGAGAAGGTCGCCCTGGCGCAGCCCTGCTCCCCTGAATTCGGACTCTACTTCAACTTTTTCAAGAGTTAGTTTTCTTAAATTTACCAACTGATTTGGTATTCCTAGCTCTTTCATTGCTTTGAACATTTCTCTTCTATTCACAATGTGCCATATTCCAGTGTTTTTTTCAAAATTTGTTTCAGGGTTGCAATCTGATGAATTGTTCAGCCTCGAATTGTCCTTCTATCCGTTCTGTATATGGTGCCCTACGATGACATAGTACTGTAGAAAATATTTTATACGCTGCATTTAGAAGCGTAATTCCTCTGTGGTTAGAGCATTCAAAGATATCTCCTTTGTTACGTATGGTGTCAAGTCTTCCAATATTCCAATCATCGGGGAGGAATTCATGTATCCATATTTCTTTTATAAGCTGTTGTAATGCCATTATGGTATCATATCCTCCTTTAGGATGGTTCAGCTGGGAGATTATCTATTGCGGGTGATTTGTTTCTCCCTAGTTTTTTAACTGCTTCTTTAACTTCAAATATTGTTGGTGGTTCCTCTTACCTCTCCTCTGTTCCCCTAAGATCACCTCTTTCGTCTTCCTCTATATTAAGTGCCTGGTTAAAGTATTCCACCCATCTATTCAATACATCTTTCCTTGTTATTAATAGGTCATCATTCTGACTTCTGCATTGTCTTGAGGTTGCCTTGAATTCTTTTCTGTTGATTTTAACTTTGTTATAGAATGCTCTGAATTCTTTTTCTCTGTTAAGGTTTTCTATATATTTAAGTTCCTCATTTAAGTGGTTTCGTTTTTTTCTTTACTGTACCCCCTTTTCTTCTCTTCTCTTTTTCTGATGATTCTCTACAGTTGTTCTAGTCCGTCTGGTCCATCTTTCTGTAGGCCTTATTTTTTTCTTGTGTTGCATTCTTGCATTCATCGTCAAACTAATGATTTCTACGGTTCGATACGGTACGATTTAATGTCTTCCTTTATTCTGAAATAATTTTTTTTAATAAAATAAAATTTTGCAATCTAAATTAAAAAAAAAATAATTTTCAAAATTATGCGTGCCAAAAACTGAAACTTGTAGGTACATGAAATTTTTTCACATATAGAAGAGCATTAAAGATTTTAAACACATTTTGAAAAATATCAATTCGTCAATTTAGAAGAGCTTGGTCAATTTATAAACAATTTAAATAACTTCATTGATTGTTGATAAATTTTAATTTTTAAAGCGTATAATAAAAGTGATTCGAAGGAGATGGTTGTAATATGCTTTTTGATTGTCTTTGGCGTGAAATATTTTCCCAGTTCCCTTTCAGAATTATTTTGATCTAATAAAACGAGTACTAGCCCTTTCTTTAGCAAGATTATATTTAAAATCCACAAGGAAAACAATTCCTGTAGCTGGCTGTATACCACGTATCACAAAAAAGAGGTTAGTCTTCGTAAGTGGGTATATTTATTAATATATAATAAATATACCCACTTACGAAGATTATATTTAGCCTCTAGTAAAGAAACCTCTTGTGATTCGAACGATTTCGTTGTGGAAGATACATTACTCACCCTGTAATTGTATTGCAGTAAAGTGCATTGGGCATTAACGCTTCTAATAATAACTGTCTGGAAATAAACTTACCGCTAATGACATATCGCGATAATCAGCAACAGTTAGGTCTGGAGACTGCCAAAGGAAATTGTTTGTCTTTGGTAATTTATGACATCGTTAAATATTTATTCCAATAGAGGAATAGAGGAATCAATATTAATTATTCCGATATTTATTCGTTATTATATTTATAAAGACATTAACCCATAGATCTTAAAGATGAACTTATATAACAATTTATTTGCTTATCAATATCAAGTTATATATCAAGTTATGTAAACCTGCAGTTTTGGACCTTGTCAGTGGTTTTTGAGAAAAAATGACGTCTTCTTCTTCTTGTAGTTCCTTCTCTTATCGGAGGTTGGCTATCATCACAGCTATCCGTACCTTATTGGCGGCTACTCTAAAAAAGATCTACTGAGCTGCAACTATACCACTCTCTTAGGTTTCTCAGCCAGGAAATTCTTCTTCGTCCTATGGATCTTTTACCCTTGATTTTACCTTGCATTATGAGCCTTAATATCTCATTTTCGCACCTCTGGTAATGTGGCCTAAATATTCCAGCTTTCTTGTTTTGATGTGCTTTATGACCTCGCAATCCTTTTGTAGCCTTCTTATTAACACTTCTGCATTAGTAACTCGTTGGGTCCATGGTATTTTCAAAATCCTTCTATAGCACCACATCTCAAATGATTCCAACTTCTTTATATTATCCACTTTTAGTGTCCTGCTTTCCATTCCATACAACAAAGTCGAGAACACGTAGCATCTTAAGGCTCTTATCCTCAGATCCAGAGGAAGATCTCGATTGACAACATTGTTTTCATTTTTATAAATGCTTGTCTTGCAATTTCAATGCGTGTCCTTATTTCTCTACCTTGGTCATTGTTTTCATTTAGATGTTTGTAGTTATTCACTCTTTCTACTTGCTTTCCCTCGATATCTAGCCTTCCTACTGTATGTTGCTTGGAAATAATCATGAACTTGGTTTTCTTAACGTTCATTTGTAGTCCATATTTGATACTGACTTTATGATGATGGTTTTACAGAACATATTTTAATAACACTATTTTTTACAGAGTTAAATTGGAGGCGCTGATGAAAATTGTCCGATGTGAAATAATAAGTTTTGTGAAAAATGATCAAATTGATGCTTACGTATTAAGGTAAGGTTATTTTATCTATAATATAATTTTTAATATGAATAGAGCTTAGGCTTTATTAATTTATTATACTTAAAAAAATTTACCTGTAGGAAACCTGCTCCTTCCTCTTTATATATCGATTTAAAAAAAATGCCGGCTTTAGTCCGAAACAATTAAGATGCCACTAAAATGAGTTTTTTTTCATTAAATAAATATTTCAACTACATTAAGTATGCAAAATTAGGTGCAATTCGCTTTTAATCAAATAATTTTTTTTATTCGTTATATCAGTCGCCTAGATTCAAAACCCGACAAGTCCAGGTAAATGAGATTAGAGATAATGAAGAAAAACTTGTAGACTTTTTGAGAAAATTGAGGTTTTTGATAATAATACATAAAAAACACTTTGAATCTAGGGGCCCCCAGAAACAGGTAATTGTATGATATATTTTGGACATGTCGGAGTTTGCAGATGAATTTAATATTTTGAAAGAAAAGAAAATCGAAATCTATTAGAAAAATAAGTTTAATTACTCAACAACGCAAGATAACTTTATCCACTATTTTATATTGCAAAGCTGACTGTTTCTGCTTCGTAATTATCTTCCTCTTCATTTGCATCACTGCCTTGTCCCTCCTCTATAGCTTCGTGGAATACTTCTTTGAAAAAGACCAGTTCATTCTATCTTGCCATCCCTTTCCGTAGTGTTTCTCCAATAGCTTAGTAATACTTGTTTTCTTATCTTCTTTAATCGCTATCCCAGCCTTCAGTGTTCTTGGACTAATTTGTTGGCTGTTCGTTTTGTTCCCTCTTTTGCATAAGCTTTTGGGTGCGCATAAGTCAGTTTTGTAAAATGCCTCACCCCTTATAAGTGGTACTGTTTGTCCTCTTGTAGCCTGGTTGTTTTATTACTTTTTGAGTTTCAGCCTTCCAGTCCTTAATTGCAACACCAGTTCCAGCTCTGTAAACAGTGGCAAACTTTTTGATTAACTTTACATATTCATCAGGATGAACAATTACCGTGTGTTTTTTATAAATTCTTTCAATTTGTTCAAACACACGATCAGGGGGAATATAAGAATGCCCCACAACGGGAAACACTATCTCAATTTCCTTTATTTGTCTTGGAGCTTCAAACTGAAGCCAATAGCTCAGCAAACGACGATATTTCGTTTGAACTTCTATGATGGTCCAACTCCGTCCAAACATGACGTAACATTTTCTGGAGTTAATTTACTTTTTGAAGATCCACAAACTACAGTTAGGTGATAAAAATTAAGTCGCATACTGAAATAAGCCTAATGGTTTGGTAGCGCCAAATTCTTCTGACAATCAAATGAAAATGTGACCATGTCGTCTCTTTCTTATGAAGTCTATAGAAACTCTCACTCTTACTTTGTGGAGACGTTGTTGTGCTTCCAGACTAGTTTTTTTGCTTTGTCAGTCTCGTCTTTTATGCTGGATTTGTACTGTAAACAATTCGGAGTTCCAAAGTCAACGTTAAAATTTTTGTTAAAATAATCTCTAAAGAAACATTCTTTGACTTTAAAGTCTTCGTTTTGGGCCATTTTGTCGTTGTATATTCTCCATAATTTTGGGATACTTAATTCAGCAGGCAAATCAATTCTGTTGAATATTTTTGAACGGCAATAATGAGATTCCGCACATTTTAGGGACTCGATGAATTTTTTTATAGATTGTTTTTACCTTCGTTTTTTTGTCCAATTCGATCTTCGCCTCTTCTTTAAAATTCTATCTTTTTTAATTCCCAAAATACCTTGGAAAGCTATTCGACATACAGGAACAATTAGGCTGTCACTTCTCTTCAATTCGTAGGTTAAAATACAAGATTTATTTTTGTTGGCTGTTCGTTTCCTTTGTCTTACCGGGGTATGTGAGTCAATGTGGCTTAAAATGAACATGTCTTGTCGCCTTTTATCCTTATTTTGATAAAAAGCTGAATGAAAGTCTCTCCATCGTCCATGGACAGATGAGATGTACATTGAAATGGTTGATATGGCTTTCCCTTATGGCCGCAAGTGGGGTACACAGGTAATGTTTTGGCAGCATATCTACAAATATTTATTTCATCACAAATAATATACTAATTTATTGTAATATTATAGGTTATACCTTGCACGTTTTGCCTTTTCTCTTCTTGTTTCGACCTTCGCTCTTTTTCAAGCCTGTGTCACATCACACTGTTTTACATTAATAAACTGTCTAACAGTATTTAAAGTTGCCAATGAATCCATTATTTTAGCAATTTATTACACACACTGAAAACAACTTACTTAAAAGCATAAACGAAACTGATCTGCTTGGCTAACACTTTGTCAACCGAAATCAGGTGGCGAGTAAAATACTACGCGTCTATTGGCGGATTGGAAGGAAATGTCGACTTTTGCATTTAAAACGAGAATGGACCTATAATCGGTATTTGCATCTAAGGTACATTTTTGGGAGCCTATAATTATCGGATATGTCGGGATTTGCTTGATAAAGTATTATGGACTTGTAGGTTTATGTATTTCAAATTCTTATATCTAATAAAAAAGGTTTTGAAAAAATTGTGACTTGTCGGGTTTTGAATTTAGGCGACTGATATAATAAGATAGAATAGAAGAGAAGAGAAAATCTTTTACATATTTCTGATCGTCATTTATATCGTCACTGTACTAATAATGTCTAATAAGCACATGCCGACCAACTTATGTGAAAATTCCGATTGACGGATTGAGTGATAAATTAAGTCACTTCTAATGGACAAATTATTATACTATCTTTAAAAGGTATTGAGTTTCGCCTGGCGAAATATCTGTACACATGATCGGGCAGTCATTTTTAAGATATGTCATAAATATAATACATCATACATCAATTATTGAAATCGTTTAATCATCGTATTAAAATTGCTGTTTAGTCTATTCTTCAAACATGCCACATTTTTCACATTTATATTAAACTCAAACTCTAATTTCATATACATTGCATACGAGCTTTTACGCTGATTTTTACATTTTTAAAGTGGTGTGAATCAACATTTTTCGCTACTTAACTACACACGCTAAGGTTTATTGGTCAGAAGAATAACTAAACTTGCCTTTTTAGGAATGTGAGTACTAAGTAGAAATTTGAAATGCATACAATATCAGTCTAATAAGTCTGTGTATATTTATTTCAGTAGTTTTAACAGGGTTTTAGAAATAAATGTTATGACTTACTAACAATAAGTCGATATAAAAAATATTACAGCTGATCCTTAACCCTTTGGCGGACACCGTAAAAATGTTTGACAATGACCAAAACACACTTGCAAATTTATCGGTACTGTGATAACATTGGTTAAAAATTATCCTGTGGGGACAAAAAAGTACAAAATACTTCATATTGAAGACAAAAAATACATGACGGTCACAGCCCTCTTGTCCCATTAGACTTATACAAATGGTCTTATTGGACAAGACGGTCATGACCGTCATATTAAATGTTACCAAAATGCATTTATTGAACATAAACTACAAATAATAAATGAATTAAATACGGTATTTCAATAAAATAATACACAACATAATACAATCACAACAAACAGTATAAGAAATTGTAAAAAACAAAATAAAAAAACTTATTTGCTAGTCTAAGTTCTCGTGCCACTTTTGAAAACATAATCCTGAACATAAAGGTGGATTTTCATTACAATCTTTACATCGCCAAAATGTTTATTTTCGTATTTTACTTTTAGAGCATTGACGACATCGTAAATAATAATTCTTGCGTCTATATCCTCAGGTACAGGAATCATTTCTTGATAATGGGGATGTCTAATTTGTTCATCATTCCTCCGAGTCATTTTCTTACGTTTACCTCCATGTATAGGACCCACTTTTACATAACTTCTGCCATCAGTCTGGTCAAGAGGTACACCAATAAAACTTTTTATAAGATGATTTCTAAAACCTAAGCTACTCATACATCGTTCTTGGCGGTATTCTTTTCCCTTTCGATAAATAAAATAGGCATTGGCAATTTTTACGTCCAACAAATGAAACAACACTTTTTTATACCAGCGAATGGTCCTTCGTGTACATGAGTAATATGAAATTAATTGATCAGTTCGATCAACGCCAGACATATTGTGATTATATTCAGTTATATCTTTTGGTTTTACTTTGGGCTGGTTAAATCTGTTGGTTGTTTCTATCAATGTCGGATGGTAACGAGTGGATATACTACAGACATCTCTCTTATCCTTCCATTTTGATACATAAACACGGTTTTGTCTCCTCCATATATACTGTCCTTTTCTTAGGTTCGCGCCAGTTACAACTTTTGGATTGTCTCGTCTATTAGAACGTAAGGTTCCTGTGCAATGTGTTCGTCTCTCTAATAATTTTTTTGCATAAGCCTACACTCTTATAAAAATTATCCATGAATATGTGGCGTCCTTTATTTACATATGGAGTAATCAGTCGAAGAACTAAATTATGGAGTTGTGGAGAAGTAGGGTCACGACCACGATCACATGCTGTCAAAACTTTACCTCTATAAATTTCGATATTTAGGACAAAGCCATCCGGTGCACATAATTCATAGAATTTAATTCCATATTTGGCCCTCTTGCTCTTCATATATTGTCGAAAAATTAATCTACCTTTGAATAATAATAACGACTCGTCCAAACATATATTTTCTTCAGGAGATAACGCCCTCTGGAAATTTGTAAGTAGACCATTTAGTAACTGTTCTACTTTATGTAGCCTACCGTTTCTATTTTCTGTCTCACAACTAAAACATCTTAAAATCTGTTCGAATCGTCGCCCACTCATTGTTGCAGAAAATATAGGATGATAGTATAATGGATCATACGTAAAAAATTTTCTTATAGATGGCATTTTTATTTGTCCTTGCAACATACATAGACCCAAAAATTTTTTTAGCTCCGTTAGGTCCACGTTTTTCCACGCACTTTTTCAACCATATTTTCTGTGAGGTCTGGACTCTCTCGTAACTTTGTTGCGAT